CCCCCCCCCCCCCCCCGTGAATTCAGCTCCTGTAATACTAAATCAGATGGAGGCCATGGCTTTGCAAGGGGAAAAAGTTTGAATGATGATAAGAATGCATATTTTAGTAGATGTAAAGCTCTGCTTTTTGGTTTATTCTCATCCCTCTGGGAATAATACCCTAATGGACAGTACTACAGAATTTGAAAGCTTGTACCCAGTGGACCTAGGTATAATATATGGCTTTCAGGGGTCAACCACACAGCCCCTTGCCCTGGCTCCGACATAACCTACTTGCCAGTCACTGACGCCATGTTGTTGCATCAGAGTCTGTCTCTTAAGTCAAGGTGAGCAGGCAAAAACTTATATTTTTTAGTGGGATGGAGTAGAACTGCCCTCCATGCAAACATTTTAATTTGCATGGAGGAGAACCTTAGGGGTATCAGTGACCTCTAGAACTGCTGCAGGACTGCTCCTCCCATCTGGCTACAAGGCTCTGTGCCTCCATGGCCATTTCACCTTTGCTGGAGAGAACAGAGCTTTACCCCATTTTTCTTTTCCTCCAATAGGAATTCCAATTTTGGAAAGGTATTTCATGAGATCATTCCTACCAGTAACCTCCATCATGGTGATCCCTGGCCTTATGCACTTTTTGGAGAGCATCTCTGCCAGGACAGGGATCATTGTCATGGAAGGCAGTGAGGAATCCAGGTTTGGGGGAAAAATCCAAAACCAAAAAACCAGGCAGCAGAAAATGGAAGAGTCCTCTTTTTAAAGAGATTTTACTGAGGCTGTTTATCTCTTTCTGTCCTTTCTAGTTGATGACCAGCCACAGGGTTTCTGCTGTGTGCTGTTGCCATCGGTGGTGCTCCTGGAGTGTACGGAGGGAAGATGGCATTCTGGACACAGCTGGGTTTGCTATTATGGAAGAATTTCACTTTTAGGAGAAGGCAAACGGTAAGATCACGTCATTGCTTTATTTTCACAAAAGAGCCGATTGTAGGTTTCAAGAATTTATACAGGGCCTGCTCAGACAATCCTATTTAACGCTAGAAATACACCATTTGGGCACAAATATGTAAAACTCCCATTAATCTGGGTGGATTTTATGATGTGGATTGGAGGGTTTATATAAAGGCATTTAGCCGGTAAGTTCTTCCAAGAAATAATTTGTGTATTGGACTTTAAACCAATGAAACAAGAAGCTGTATGTAGTTATGTTTTTTGTTGTTTTTTTTTAAATCTGCGCTCAGTCGTTACCGACTCTGCAGTGACTGCTTGCAGTTTCCTTGCAGTTTTCAAGGCAAGGTGTTTCGGAAGTGGTTTGCCAGAGCCTCCTTCCTAGAGGAGAGCCCAGCTGGCGAGCGCAGGAGGTGGGTTTCCATTGCTTCGCGCCCTTTTCGGGCACGCACGGTTTTTCGCACTTATTGGCAACTGCTCCCGACTCCTTTTTGCAAGGCGCCACCAGCATTTTTCCTCCCACCG